GTGGATTTTGATATGCAACTGTTTGATTGCGGGGGAAATAACTGTGTGTGTGTGTGAGAGAGAGAGGGGGGGGGGGGGGGGGGGAGGGAACATGGGAGTGAATTTGTTCCTAATTTACAGAATATTGTGTTGAATTTGTTTGCTCCTTTGATGGTGCTGGTTTTTTTTTCCCCAATGAATGATGGCAAATAGTGTCATTCATGTGCCAATGGACCATCAACAAGTATGATATGAATAATGTCTAGTGGCTGTTACAAGTTGCGCCTGTATAAAATGGATGCTAAATGGCTGGACCATCTTGGTGGCTAAAGAGTTCCTTTAACACCACCTCACCAAAAATCTCACACTTCTCATAGGAGTAGTTGATTTCATACTCCCTATATAATCTTGTATTTCCTATTCCTTTTCCCTTGTTCATTATTATTGTTCATCAGAAAAAGAAAAAATGCGAAGAAAACCTATGAATTTGTGTCATAGTATAAATGTGTGCATTTATTTACTTGTAATCCCTATAGAAATTTGCATGGTCATTTCTTCTGCCTCTATCATAGGTTGTTGAAGAGGCTGGATTTTGCGGAGCTGAAATTTAGCTTATACTTGATAGGCTATGAGGTAAACAAAGGAAAAGAACTTTTATTTCCATCAATGCATAAGTTGTTATTCATAGTGGAATTTTCTAATTTTTTTTGTTTAATAAAGGTATTAATCCTTCCCTCCCTCTCTGTTGTTTAGGATATGTTACCAGCTCCAAACAATCCAATTGAGTGTAGTGTGTGGACCTTTGGTGAGAATGCTACGATTGAGCTCACTCACACACTAGGGAGTTGCTTTTTGTGGTGTTCTCTTTTTTTTTTTTTTTCAAATTAATTTCTCATGCTTCACGAACTCTCTGATCATCTCACTATAATTGCTACAGTAATTGGGGCACTGAGAGTGACCCTGATTTCAAAGCCTACCATAATGGAAACTCATAACCATGTGGCTTTGGTATGTGACTCTATAATGTTGATTTGAATCGTTTCTTCTTGTCACATGTCTTAACTTCATAAAGCAGTCAATCTTGACCACCCTGAAGAATATAGTCTACTCTTGTTTAGATCGATGTGAAAGCAGAAAGGAGGTATTGATTATCTTAGGTGCGGCCCGTAGTGATATTTTGACAATGGTTTGCTCTGGTTTTGTAAGTTCTTACATACTATGAAATGGCTGCACATCTGGTTTCTAGAAAGCAGCCTTCTGTATAAGAAAAGACGGACATTGGTGTTGCATTGTTGTGAATGCATTGTAAGAGATAGTGAGACAAGGATTGCATTTCTGGCTTCTCGCAAGCATCCTCCTAAAAGATAGATGCATATCTTTAACTTATTGTATTTACTTAATGTATGTAAATGATGCTCAACGTTTTTCTTGATCTCTCAACCTTGGCCACGTGGATGTTGTATTTGTAAAGATGAATTTGGCTTTTAGATGAATGATTGGTTTTATGTGTCATTTCTAGTGATTAACTTATCCCATTATGTGTTCAGGACACATGGGCATTGCAGTTGACAATACATACAAGGCCTGTGAGAGATTTGAGCATCAGCAATGGAGTTTGTGAAAAAACCTGACGATGGTAATGGTTACTCACTTACCTTTTCAATTTTCAGCGTCAATTTAAGACAACATACTGCCTCCGTTATTATCATTTGTGTCTCTAGTTAAAATTAAGGTTGTGGTGGTTGGGGATAACTTAATCATAAATCCTGGTATCTGGTTAGAAAATCGTAGTGAATGGGGAGGGAACCTGCTGTGTTCATAGACATCCATATGAAAGCACCATGACTTGTCAACAACGAAGGGAAAAGAGAAAGAGAAAAAGAATAGAGAAATCCCATTCGTATACATGAGCAGTTTTTTAAGTGTCATTAGTAGCTGCTACTCTTGGCTATGGAGTGACCAAAGATCATGTGTGCAGACTAGATATATATGCAATAGGCTTTATATTACCTCAAGTGAGACTCATCCATGATGATTCATAGTACTAAATATGCCGCCAGGACATTGGAATCAATCAATGTGGTAGTGGGTTTGAGAACAAGATGTTGTACACACTTACTCTACAATTACATACAAAAAGACAGCTCGGTGCAGGAGTCTCAGACCAGGCTGGTTCTTGGCAGAGTCAGATAGATGTAGTCTCACCCCCTACATACAATGAGACTGTTTTTGTTACCATATCATCATCCATGATATCAAATTAATAATTCTTGCACTGAATCTACCAGATTTTTTTATTTTTTGTTTCATATTTATGGTGCATTCACTAATTTTCTTATGATGTATAGTGGTAAAGGGTAATATTTGGTGTTTATGTAATTTCCTTGCCTAAGATCTACCAACCTGATTGCAGGGGAAGTTAAAGGGGTAGCATTCATAAATGATCCTGATGGATATTGGATTGAAATTTTTGACACTGAGACAATTTGAAACGTAACTTGTGGTGCTGCTTGATGCAAGGTTACATGCACTTTACATTCTAAATTAATTAGCCCTTTTGATACCCTATTTTGATAAATCTTTGATTCGCTTTATGCTAATCTTGTACCACACTAATATTTTATTATTCCCTCTTGAAGTTTTGAGTACTATATCTTGTCATCACATTGAAATCTACTATTTTCCATGCAGGAAAGTTGATAGATGTCAAATAATGAGAGAGCTGGGGAAGATAAAATAATAAGAAAATACAAAAAAATAACGTAGTTCGACCTTAAAGCATACGCCCACAAGGACTACATCTTTGCATTTCGACTTGATTTATTTCATTTACAACAATCACCTTTACACAAGTAAAGGAAATACCACTTGATATAAACAAAACATATAAGGATGAAGGAATTCACTCCTAAATCAATCCCATAGACTACTCTAATCATGGGATTTTTTGTGACCAAGTTGTCCTTTGTGTTCAACAAAAGGGGAACATTTTTATACGCATTTTTAATACTTACCTAATTTGTCCATTGTGTCAACAAAAGGGGTTGATTATTATTTTGTGGTACCACTTGATTTCATGACGAATAATCTATAAGTGAAAAAAAAAAATTGGTGAAAGTTTACAAACCTCTTATTTGAATCGGGATTTGAAAGAGACAGAAACTATTCCTGCCTCAACAAAATTTTTACCAATAAAATAAAAAATATTTTACACTTTCTCGAGAAGAAAAAGCGCAATCGAGGATAAATTTCTCCAACTGGAATCACGTGGATGAATGTTAGATACATAGTTGGCTTACCTAAGCTTGGTATGTGATAGACAAGGTTCAACTCTGTTCGCGACCCAGTGGTACTTTGATAATCAAAAAAACTATGGTCAATGATCAAACCAATCAATGCTATCCATACTGTCTTAATCCATGGGGACCATTATAGCTGTGACCCACTTCATGCCCTCATAGTCGTCTTAATTGCATTGTTAATTATAATTTCAATATATAATTAATTATATAATACTATTATTTAAACTTAATTTATTAATTTAATTCATCACAACATCGGATTGATAGCGAGTTTTAATAAATACTAAAACTCACTGTTAATTCAACGATTAAATCGAAATAGAATTGCTCTTAAATATATTATGTACAACATGGAAACAAAGGTTAATACCCATTGTTTAACAAATTAGAGTAAATGATTCGAACATGAATGACTTGTTTTTTTATCAGATCGAAAATGAGATTAATTGAAAATTGATCCAAATATTATTGACCGTAATTAAAAAAAAAAAAAAACGACTCTCGGAAGAAGACTGAGATTAGGATTAACTATGTCATTCTCAAAGTTTGAGCCGCCACAAAATCCAAAAATTTCCTACGATTTTCTAATATGCTACTTGACTTCTTTACCTTGGGTTTTGACTATCTCAAAAAATTTCCTGTGGTGTATATAGCAGTATATTCCTAGAAGTAAATACAGTTGTAAATTGTAACTTTACTATGGATTAAGAGAAGTTGGATTTTTTCTACTATATTTTGTTTTTATTTTTTTTTGGGTAGATCACCGAACTTGAATTTAAATGGGTCCCCCTTGTATATAAGTGGGTCCTTCTTTATTCGTACTAAGGTGGATGATTTTTCAAAAAAAGACAAATCGAAAGAAAAATATATTAAATGAAATCAGAATCCGTAATAAGGAAAGTGGTGGTTCCATTTTAATGGTGAAGGGTTGCTTTTGACAATTACAATAACAGTAAAGTATATTTTATTTCTCTTTGGTTTGAGTTGGTAATTACTTATCTCCTTATGTTTGAGAAACCTATATATACTTCATCGCTTAGTACTAAGGTGTACTAACTAGTAAGATTAATGGTTCAGTAGAAAATGACAATGTGTAAGAGTTTTTAGGTCTTTTAATTTCTTCTTGAATGATGATAACTTCTCTGGTTTTTCATGGCATTTATTTTTGAGTTCTGTAGATTCATCTTGAAAAAAAAAAGTATGATTGATCCTAAATTATCTTGATCGATCATAAAATTACAACTTTTAAAGATAAAGTTTATAATTTTTCAAAATAAAGTTCTAGCTAATTAGAGATCTATAATATAAAATATGACATACTTCAACAAGTTTTTTTGACGGTCTCAAATAGACTCGTCTAATGATCACTAGTCTCTCTCAAAATCATTTATATTACACTGTACTTTAAGACACAAATTATTTTAATATATTAATGAATCATGATCCATCATAACCTTTTATGATCGGTCACGAAGTTTTCTCAATCAATTATAAATTCATTTTCAAAACATATAACATCAGAAAGTAATACACAAACACGACAAATCACCGCTACCCAACAAGAAATGCACAAAAAGAAAAGCTTTACCATGTACTGTCAAGAAAAGAAAGTTTTTCATTCATTTCTATCAAAATACACAAACCCCCAGAAACTAGAGTCTTTTCTGAATCTCCCCCACCATACCACACGGCCTTTCAAATCTTTACAACAGTCAGTTCTCAGTAATAGTACATGGCCCTCTCTTGTGTCTTGTTTTCACCATTGAAGAAGAAGCTACTGTAATTACACCCATTACTACTGCTAATCAGTTGCTTAACCTCCTCAAGACCATACCCTGATTGTGTATTCCCAAAATACTGATCATTTGGTTTCTGATCAGTCCAAGAAAGATCACCAACTCCATTATTGCTGCCACAATCAAGCATGAACTTCTGGTTTTCTTCAAACCCATTTGATAGATATATCTGCAGACCACCAATTTCTTCTTGTTTGATCTCTTTGCCATAGCTGATCTGACTGCAACTTCCATCAGAAGAGGAACAACTTGGTTCAGTACCTCCAAACATGAGGAGATTGTGACTCTCTTTCACTGGATAATAGTTCATAGGATCATACACCAAGCTCTCTTGGGCTTGAACAAAAGAATAATTTGTTTCCAAAGAAGAGTTGTTATTGTTGTTCCAAAGGTTTGGAGGAATTGATCTGGTAGGTTCAAGGCCTGTGAGATCAGACTTAGTGGGGGTGTAAGTGTAATATGAAGTGCATTCTCTGTACAACTGTGCTGGGCAAGATAGTGATGGTATTGTTTGAAGAGGTGTTTGAAATGGTGGTGGTGGTCTTCTCTGGTTTGATGGGGCCGCCATGGCCATAAGCTTCTTCTTGAGCTTGGTGTTCCAGTAGTTCTTGATATCGTTGTCAGTCCTGCCAGGTAACTGAGCAGCTATAATTGACCACCTGCACTTGCAAACAATAATTTCCATAGCAAGAACTTATTAGCAATGAGTTCCATAAGAAGGAAAACGCCTAAGGTTTCAAATGGAAAAGCTGTAAGTGGGTGCTGGTTTTAGTCCTTTAGAATTTAGATCTAAACTTGGCATGCATGCACAAGAATTGTCCAAAAATTGCAGAATCTTGTAACATACAACAATATTTAAAGATCAAAACAAACCATCTCTCTCTCTCTCTCTCTCTCTAGATTTTTCTTTTGAGTTCTTTGTTTACTTTTTTGGTTGGGGTCAGTTAATTATCTGACATCAAAACAGAATATAATTAAGGGAAAAAAGAAAGGATGGTAGAACTACAATAAACTGAGATCAATTGGGTCAAAGAATATGCCCCAAAACTAGAAAAAAAAAATTGAAGAGTTCCAGAAGCAGAGAATTGGAGTACCTGCTGCCAATGCTAGCATAGAAGCTGCAGATTATCCTGTCTTCTTCCTCAGAAAATTCACCATGCCTAATGTTGGGCCTGAGATAGTTAAGCCATCTCAATCTGCAGCTCTTCCCACATCTTTTTAGACCTGATCCAAGACCAAAAACATAAACATGAAAAACATCACACACAACATAGAGAGAGAAAGGAAAGATGAACCCAAATTCATTTTTTCTGGAATGGGTTCTTCTGTGTTTGAAGTTCATCTTACCAGCTTTCTGAGGAAGGGCAATCCAATTCCCACCAGTCCCATTTTTCTCTATAAACTCCTTAAGCTTTGCGTCTTCTTCAGGTGACCATGGACCTCTCTTCACATTATCCTTGTCACAGCAAGGAGCCCTCCCCATCTCTCTCTGTCTGAAGTTTCTCTCTCTAACAGGTCTTTGTATTTTTGCGTCTTTGTTGACGTTTTTTGAGAAAGAGAGACTCAGTGAACTTGGTTGGTATGTTGTGGGTTAGTAGCGCATTTTATTGAGAGACTTGGATTTTACGACAGTAAATAAAAAAAAAAAATTAAATTGAGTATTTTATGACAGAAACATAAGTCAAAAGGATTGGACTTTATTACCAGTTTCTAACTCCTTTTCTGAATAAGTAGCTGATACAAGTTTCCATCTAAAATATATATTGAAACCCTATATATCCTGACAATTCTTCTGGTTCAAGAATCCAAAGTCTTCTAGGGTAGGAAGAAATACATGTTACAATTTAACTAATCGATTGCTATGGGTCTCTGACTTGTGACCTTTTCTAAATTATTGCCTAGGTTATAGGTGAAATATATATTATATCTCTATAGACAATGCTTACTTAGTATAATTTGAACTAGTAATAGGTTTTGTGTAAAGATGGGCATAGCATGTGTTGAATTCCAGATCAAAAGTTTATACCAAAATTTTGGGTATATATGTAGGAATAATGAACCCGAATACAACTATGTGGCTAACTTTTGAGAGAGTTAATGTGGTTATTACAGTTTGAGTATTAACCGAGATCTACATGGATCATAAATAGCTAGGTTAATGCATGTGGAAAAACTCATCATGCATGGACTGAAGGACACATAGTTAAAAAAAGTGTATATGGAAGGAGAGAGAATAGGTGGTCCAATAACCATTACTGATGAATGGTCACCTGGTTCTCTACTGTTCATGGGATTGGAATAGTGACTGATGAGAATAATCATGTTTTTTCCTGCAGGGTAAAGAGTACAGTAACAAATGTGTTACGTTTTGATACAATATTAAAAGTTACTCTAAAATGAGGTTGATGTTACTATTCAGTTAGACGAGCTCGAAAAAAAAAAAAAGACTTAATTGGGATCGATCCTACATGAAAGAAGAAATGAATTGATGGAATCAATTTTAACCTTTAGTGTCAATCTCAACTTTATTTGAGTCATATTTGCACCACAATAAATCATAACTTTACCAACACAAGTACTTTTAACCTTGTCCGCAATAACCCTTATTGAATGATCGATGGTCTTTCTAGTTTCTAGTCATTGGGGGAGTGGTTAGAATGATCATGTTGGTGAACTCTCTTAGATTCTAGTTACCTAGATTCATACGATCAGGTGTTTTGGATTGACTAATCAAGGGTAGACCTTTATTGAGTAGTCACAGCTTGCAGCCTTGCCCTTGCACACACTAGGCAAACCATTTTACTGGTCCCTCTGCACTATATCATATGGATTCAATGCTTCAATAGTTCAATGGGTCTTCCCTGGCTAATTTCGCAATGGAACAGAGGCCAAAGGACTGAGAGACGGGTCGCTACTGCATTGTGAGATCAACTAATTATTGTTATTTTTTATCTTGGGGAATCTATTTAAGATAGCGCTTTTGTTTAACCCATTCATACAAAGTGAATCATAGATACATGCGTTAGTCTCAATAATTACCAACGAGAGTTTAATCAAGACCACGGGTATCCATGGGCTGGGCTGGGTCAAACCCGTGTAAGTTTTTTCGGACTAGATCTGGATAGTGTAGATCCAAATTCTTACCCAAGTAAGTTGTTAGTCAGACTGGGTCTGTGCTTCGGGTAGGGGTAGAATACTCATAACCCAACCTGCGAGTCTATTGGACGGATTTGTTGGGCGGGCTTATTGGCAGGTTTTTTTTATACACAACTTCATTTAAAAATAATGAATATTTTTGTAACTTAATAGTTATGTAAATTATATTTTTGTATCAAAAATAGAGTCAAAATGAATAAAAATAAAATAATGAATAATTTTATTTTTGATTAGGGGACAAACTATATCCAATAGAATGAATATATCTCAACTATATTGACAGTTACTCACTTATTTATCATTTGTATTACTCTACCCTTTAAAATATATATGCTTAATACATGGAAAGAAAAATAATATATTATTTATAATATCTAAATTTTTAAAACTTTAAATTCTGACATTGAGAGACTTTTTTCAAAGTTTCAAATATAATAGTTTAAAAGTATAACTTTGTAACACCCCAAAATCTACCATTAAATGCATTACTATGTAGAAACCATCCAACCATGAAAGCAATTAAAAATAACCATTAAAACAACCAATCATTCATCCATCTAATAAAGAATAAATGCTAAAGCCAATAAAACATTAAAAACCTCTCGAACTTACAATTCAAACCAAATAGTATCTATTAGCGGAATAATCAAAATTAGTTGAATCATTATTTCAGAAAAATCTCTCAAATAAAATAATCTAGACTAAGACAAAACATCTCTAAGCCTCCACTTCAAAATTCTCATATTGACCCTCTCCATTCTCAAGGTCGACCTGCTCATCTAATTCGATATCTTCTTCTCTGTCAAACTCTGTAAATGTGTTGTAGGGGGTGAGGAAGAGCCCGTGGAAAATCCCTCTCAAATTCCAACAAGGTTTTTAAAACAATAAAAAGAATGCCAATCTCTTTTAAAAAATATCATATATAAATTTTTGAAAGTAAAACCATGACAATTGTAATGAGCTCAAGTGTATGGAATACACTAAACAATGACAAAAATAAACATGCAAGAAATTAGAGATTTTAATTAATAACTCAATAATATCATCACATATTCACATGTATGTTGGTTCATCCACATTTTTATGTGTGTTGGTTCATCCACATTCTCATGTATGTTGGTTGCTTTTCAGGAATCTACAAGGGGTGAGCAAGAACCCGTAAAAAATCCCTCTCAAATTCCAACAAGGTTTTTAAAACAATAAAAAGAAGGTCAATCTCTTTTGAAAAATATCATATATAATTTTTTGAAAGTAAAACCATGACAATTGTAATGAGCTCAAGTGTACAGAGTACACTAATCAATGACAGGAATAAACATGCAAGAAATTAAATATTTTAATTAATAACTCAATAACATCATCACATATTCACATGTATATGTTGATTCATCCTCATTTTTATGTATGTTGGTTCATCCACATTCTCATGTATGTTGGTTACTTATCAGAAATCTACACAACAATTCTACCTCGTTCACCCATCACAACCACACAATCTCAATTATTACCTGCAGCGACAATTCACAAACTACTTTAGGAATAGCGTATGCCGTCTCCCACGATATTGATAAATCCTTCAAAGGAAAAGTATATCATCCCTCAACCTCGAACTTACGTGAACAATAGTGGTTGCTCTCACAAAAAATAATTCACTACAAGTGTTAGACAACTATCTCACTTTCACTGTGATTGACTAACCTCTAACACTCTACGACAGCTCTCAAAGGTAATTCAAGTCCGTCACAACAAACCATACAAGAAATGAAACCACAACTTTCTCAACAACTACAATCTTAACCAACCATAATTTCCATTAATAATTCAAGTATCACAATTGCATAATTCTCAATATACTACAGTAATAAAGGAATTAAAATATGCAAGAAATCATATCAAAAAAATCTTCACAATTTTGATATCAATATTTTAGTGTTTTGTCAAAAACATCATAATTTCTTGGAGTAAGAACAAGTAATTGATTGAAAACCTATTTAATAAAGAATAGAACTTTAGAAATCAAGAATTTATGTATTTTTCACAATCAAACATGTATTTAGCAAATTAGAGTTTTGAAAATTCAAGAACAAATATTCTTTGAACCCAAACATGTTTTTTCATAAATATTTATCATATAACTATCAAGAAGATTGAAAACCTACAAAGATAATACCTTATGTCTCAATGAAAGAACTCAAGAAAAATTCTCTACCTCAATCCGATGTTTAAAGATAGTCCTAGCATGTTCGATTCGTTTCCAACGTGAGAATCTTATTTGAATCTTGTGTTTTCTTCTTCTCTCTCACTCTCTAAGGTTGCCTAGGGTTAAAGACTGATGAAACATAGCTAAAGAGACGTCCTTATGGTATTTATAAAGTGAAAAAATGTCGAAAAATCCTAAAACTGAGCAGGACCTTTTTAGCGTAGCATCCGAACGGTCCTTGGGCGTCTAGACGATGCAAACTCACTGTTTTGGATGAAAAATAAGATTTTGGGGAATGGAGGGGCATCTGGACGGTACCAACTTTCTGTCCGAACTTTAGGAACAATTTTCACCTATTTAGAAGTTGATTTAAGAAATTTTTGTAAAATACATTTTTGTAGCTCTTGAAGTCTGGTTGCTACTGTACAAAAATCAGTTCAGTCAGAATTATGAGTAAAAAGTTATGACTAAAATACTAAAATAGTATCAAATTCCTTTCTATGCAAATCCTTTCTAAAATGCGTTTTTACTTCGAAATACTTTATAACTTTTAATACACCCTATATTACCTCTTCCAAGTTTTCTCGACCTTCTGAATTCAATATAAACCTAATCACCCTTCTCAAGGTTGCACAACTTCAAAACTAAGTTTGACTCAAAAGTCAATTCGTTTGAAATTCAAATTTCATAATCAATCTTTTAATAATGATTCGAGGTTTCTAAAATCCTTTTATTTATTTTAAGAGAAATATTAATATGATATTATTTTTATTTAATTCTAGTATAGTGTCTTTCAAACTTTTTTTCAAAGGAAAGGTGGGCGGCCTCTTGGACCGGGTTTTAACTAGTTTTTTTTGGGCAGGCTATTGGGTGGGGTTTCAGCCTAGGTAATGGGTTTGTGGGCAAACCCAAACCCTATTTTTAAGAATATTGGGCTCGGGTTCGGGTGGGCTAATTATCGGGTCTATCGAGTTTCGAGCTTATTTTTTTCAAGCCAAATAATCGGATTCGTAAGTAGCTCCGCCCATGGACACCCTTAATCATGACATATGGAGTTACCATCCACCCGAAACTAACAGGTTACCTGTGGGTGGTTTGTGGGATCAAGTTAACCTCAAGTAGGGTTA